TTCAGTGCGAAGATTTTACATGCCCTTTTATATATATATATTTTTGACGCCATCGTAGAATGCCAGAATCTCCTCGTCTCTCCTGAAACACATCGCATTACCGGCCTGCTCGATTTCGAGTTTGCTCGGATAGGTACCTCCCCAGAGGACGTTATGGACGGCATGGGAGACTTCCGAAAGCATAATTGTGTGCAACCGGTCCCAGATGGCCTGGACGTCCACTTACTCGAGATTAATGGATGGCCATGTCAAACAAAATCGGAATCGGCTGGTTTGGATTGCCAGACGTCCAAAGCATGGAGGGACCTTGTTCAACTTCCAGTGGGGTATGAAGCAACCGCCAAAACTTACGCATTCCTTGAACAAGTCTGCCCGTAAGTCTTTTATTCTTTTATTCAATCGACCTGGCATCAATTCTTTGCAGCTGGTACTTCTGCCAGCCGCCGTGGTGCGAGAGGCACGATATGGTAGTGGAAAGGCAGATTGTGGAAAGCGCTCTGAGTGACACGCTGAAGGCCTGGGGATTCTGATCGTGTCTTGTTATACATACACCAGTAATACGAGGAGATTCAACTATATTCAGTGCTGATCGTGAATGACGTTGGTCTCAACACACACAAAAAAAAACCCCCCGAGAAATAACAATCGAGATGATTGGCTATATATCGTTTCGACATTACTATACAAGTGCGTCGTCCTTTCGATTTGCGAACTGCGCCCATTGCTTTTTATCAGACTTGAAACGTCCCCATAGCTTCGTGGATCAGAGGCATGAACGTGCAACAGAGAAGGAGCTCACATATTCGATGAAACTTTCCTCTTTCATAGCTTCGAGCAGAGCATTAGGATCGTTCGCGAGCTCCTCATTACCCTCGGACAAGCTATTGATCTTCTCCTTAACCCGGACAGAGACGCCGTACATGTAATGCCGCGCGTCATGGCTGTATCATACGCATGAGTTTGTGCATTCCTGACAATGATATCGGAAACGAACTAGGCCAAAGCGCGGTTGAAACACCGTTTTCCGATGACAAGCTGAAAGCGGGGTGGGTACGGCAGATTGCGCGCCTCCGCGTTGTTCTCGAATTGAGTGGCCTTTCCGTACTTGATTTTCTTCTCCGGGATGTCCTATGCAGGACATAAGTGCAAGTCGGCTCGCGCCCGTATAATAATACCCACCAGGAACGTGTTGTGGTCGTAGATACCCTTTGCCGTAGAGATCGTATAGGCCTCGCTGGTGTCGCATGCATACATACCTCGGGTCCAGCATGCGTGGCAATCACCGGTGGGTTCGCAAGATAGGCCATCTGCGAGAATAGGGCGTAGGTTCAACGTAGCGATAAACGGCGCCTTCCATGTCGACAGCGTCATAGAGTCTGCGAGGGGGTCGATGTGTCGCTTCAGCGCATTGACCGCCGTGCCGAAATACTCCTCTTTGAGCGGATGAGTGGAGTGCTATGTAACGAGATAAGCACGTACTTTCGTCCTCTGTCGCCGTAGAGAGATAGTCGGGATCGGAATGAAGCGCGATGATGTACTCGACAAAGACTGCGAAATGCTCGTCAAGTTGGCGGCTGGAATAGCGCATGCGGTCGAGAGCAGCGTTTGCGTCGGCGTCGGCGTCCCCTTCATCCTCGTCGACGATGAAAGTGTCCTCCGCCTCTTCTCCGTCTGCGGCATCGTCAGGTTCATCCTCTTCCGCGTCTGAGAACAGGGCGAATTCCCTCTCTTCGACCTCGTCAGCGGCATCCTCCGGGATGGGTGCCGGCGACGACTTGTTTCTTCGCTTCGCATAACGCTGAAGCGCACTTGACATGAGTTCCTTCTTGGATGGCTTCGAGGAAGTCGGCTGAACGGGAACTAGAAATTATCATGACTTTTAAAGCGTCAATGAGAGTGAAACATACTCACGCGCCAGGTCCTCTGGATCGTCATCGGAATCTAGCAACATCGACCCCTTGACGTCCTCCTCCTCCTCCTCCGACTTACGGCGTAGCCGCCCTCGATGCGGAGAGTCTGCCAGAGAGTCGTTCTCGGCATCCACTGTTGAGGACTTGACGCGTCGTAGCCGCTTCGGCGCCTCGTCTTGTACCTCGTCGGAATCCGACTGCACCTCGACCTTGCGTCGGATGCGCCGCTTTTGGGGCGAGACAACCGCGTCCGACGCGTCGTCAGAGTCGGAGCCCTCCTGGGTCATTGGCGGAGGGGTAGGCGTGGGCAAATGCTCGTTCTTTTTCTTCTTCCGGGCCTTGGGCGACGGTGCAGGCTCGGGTTCTGTCAACTTAGACTTGGTTTTCCGTCGTTTCCGCACTTGGACCGCGTCGCTCGCGTCCGAATCCTGCACGTCGATGATTGGGATGGTGGTCTGCTTTGCAACGCGACGCGCTCGTTTTTTCGGTGGTGGGCTTTCTGACACGATGGTTTCAACAGTTGCTCCGGCCTCTGCGCCTATGCGTTTGCGTTTCGTACGAACCATGTTGTCGAAGTGGAAGAGAAAACGCGGTCAAAGCGCTTGAAAAGCACGTTGTTTGCCGAGTTGATCATTCCCACGTCGGCTTATCATCGTCTCCTATTAATTTCAAGATACTATACTTTTGTTCTGTCCCAGCTATGCCCCACGTATCGATGCCAACGCCTGCTCCAGTTCGATAAATAAATAAATAAAATGTAAGGATCGAGGCACCACAAGAAATAAAATGAGGGAGTGTAGTAATCTAAGGAAATGGGATAGGCTGTGAAAACCCGATATCGATAATTGCTGGTTGGGGACGGCAGGGAATGCAGAATAAGAAATCTTATTTGCCGGTGCGCTGCAGCCGGCACGCTGTCCCTTCCTCCAGAGAACCGCTCCTCTCCGTGGAGTATATCCTCCCGTCGGATCCCATCAGCTGCCTCCACTGAGATGAGCTGCTTTACCGGCCGCCGTACAGTACTGAAACGAAACGACCGGGATGAGTTTACGGGCGTGCGCGTGTCTGTGTCGTACACATCGAAGAAGTATACACGATTCCTCGGATGCAGATCTCCCGGGAAAACGCGGATACTCAGCGCGCAATCCGGCAGCGGGAAAAGGACAACCCCGTCTGCGTTGTGGAGGGTTTCTGGCTTTACCTGCGGCGTTCGTTGAATAATTCAGCACGCTGCGATTAGCTTAATTGAGTGACGCACCCCCGCCCGCTCGATCCGACCCCCACCGTGTTCACGGATGAGTCAATCCACCTGCACCCGGGGCAAACCCCGCTGCCGCGAGCATAGCCTCGGTGGCATCGATAGTGGGATGAATCGCGCCAGCTTCAAGATAGAGCCGGTTGACGAGGGTATCGGCGACACCAGGCTGCAGTATAAAGGGGAGGGTTATTGAAAGAGGGATATTCTAACCGGGAGGACGTCAGGTAGAAGTTGGGGATGCTGGACAAGGATGTATTTATATTGCTACAGAGGCACATTAGTGAGAGATGGCATTGTAGCGAAGAAACATGTTGTAGGAAGGACCGGGCCGCCTCAAGGGCCTGAAAGACGGGGTTGAGAAACGAAGGCGTTGCAAAGTGTACGGTACTCACCGCTCTCTTTCCTGAGCTCGTCATCAAATAAGAAGAGAGAAATGGACGCGGAGGAGAGGACAATCGGCCACTCGGACATAAAAGCTCTCTTGCACTCAATCTCTTTTTGGACAGGCGATCACTTCCGCATCCTTCATATTTTTCAATTGGGAGCGCTAAAAGTAGGTAAACGTGACCGCGAAATTGTTTCGGCTTCGTGGCCAAGTGCAATGAAGCATGGTTTTCCCAAAAGACGCATACGAAAGAAGGCAAACCATCTTCTTCCGTGACAGGCACGGAGAAGATAGAGTCATCGGCATAAAGCGAAAAGATAACCAGGGAAATGAGAGCACTGAGCCAGCAAATCACATGCAGCAGAGGAACATGAAAGGCGGGGGACAGGGACGGGTCTGGGGAAGGTGAAATATTGTGAAAAACAAAAAAGTAAAAGCGAGAGACGAAAAAGGTCAAGACGTCGCCAGCAAAGTAGATATGCAAAGAAAGCTGTACTCGTAAAAAGAATAGAGAGGCCTGTGGGGCAAGGAGGAGCGTGAAGAGGCGCGAGGCAGACGAGGCAGACGAGGTGGGAGGAAAGTACAGGATCAGGGAAAAGGAGAGGTAGGCAGGAGGATTCAGTGGCATAGAAGAGATGCATAGTTTGTGCGGGATGAAGCCTCGGCGCAAGGAAGAAAGAGAGAGAACCAACGCAGAGAAACGAAGCGTGTTTCAAGGAAGAGAGGTTCAAAATGGTCGTTGATGCTTGTACCGAGTGTCTATGCCAAACAACCTACGTCACGGTAACTAAATGCGGTCACCAACGCTCGCGTCCCTATATGGTATTTTTTGCGGGTGGATCCGTGGTTGTGCACCAACCAAATGGCGACGCTTTGCATCTCGGATCAAATGCGACATGGGTCGGTAGGCTCCCTTGGAGCTTGGAGACAGACCGTGCTGTTTGAAACATTTCAACCAGTTTTCACGGACAGTTACCGTTGGTGAAACTGATGTGTCCAATGTCGACAGATACACCGAAGAAATAAAAAACGTCGTGTCTTGAACGGGTTCGCATATCAGTGATCGCCGTCAAAAATGGACTGTTGTCCATAAGGTTCGTTGAAGACATTGCACGGACTCGGTGTCATTGGAGCGCGAAGTCGCCAGTTCGATTCTGGCCCGAGTCTTGATATACTTTGTGCGACAACTTTTTGATTCAAATTTGAAATGGGGTAATAGAGCTTATTAGCAACTAGTGGAAAAAATATTTTATACCAGCCCTGAATGGCTGCTCCACAATTTTCAGCCAATCAGAGGACATAGACTGGTACAAAATTCGGTTTATATCGAAGCTCCATTGGCTTTACTTTCGAATGGAATACACCTAAGTTATTCGCAATACAACTGATCTCTTCTCATCTCTTCACTATCCTCCTCGTGGTCCTTTCACAACCGAAGCCGTTTAATTCCCTCTTAGCTCAGTTGGTAGAGCGCGTCACTAGTATGTCGGCACATATACATTTGTGTAATGACGAGGTCAGTCGTTCAAATCGGCTAGCGGGAATCGTTTTTTCTGTTTTTTCCTCCGCATCTTCCAATCAGATCAGCGCATAGACATCAGACTCGGAATCTTTCCCTAAGTTCAGTGCGAGTCTGGCTGGCCAAACGCCATCCCTCCCACATACCACATACGTCGACCACTCAAAAGCAAACTCAAACGACCGAAAACCCAAAATAAGTATTATATATGCCAATGTGCATGCATGCGCGACGCCTCATCGAGCTTGGCTTGTATCATAGTAGTTTGTATTTAATAAATTTAAAAGCATGCAGAGTGAGTGTATATATTGGATGGTGGAGCTATGGATTGATTGAGGGGATGCAGAGTTCGTTCGATGTATTGTATCGAGGTATGTAAACGGTAGACGGTAAAACGGTGAACGGCGAACGGTGAACGGAACGAAGAAGAAAGGAACCGAAAGTGAGGTATGTAGAAGAGAAGAGGAGGGACTCGAAGGAGGAGAAAGGAAAGAGAACAAGACGACCAAAACTACCGTGGAAAAAAAACTGTAGTGTACATACATACAGAAAAAAAATCCAATCCCAAAATATATGCGAGGCGGCGTAAGACCCATAATAATATAAAAAAGCAGTGAAAAACCAAAAAAAAGGCGCGGTAGGGTAGGGTAGGTGGGGCGGCTGTGATAGTGATCGCGAGTCGTCAGTCAGTAACGTTGCGCCGAGAAGAGAGATTGGGGGGGTGACTCACCACTAAAATGAATATACGCTACTTCTCTTGGGGTGGTGTGGTGTGGTGTGGTATGGTGGGGACGGGCGGGCTGGGGTGCTTCAGCGTCGCTTCAAAGCAAGCAAGCTGAAGCTGGTATGTACGTTCTGGGCTGGTATCGGTATCGGTATCGGTGTCGGTATCTCGCCGCGTCCGCCCGAATTTTGTTAAAAATAGTAATATACTTGGCTGGTCGTGCAGGGCGGGTATGGATAGGGGGTGGGTTTTCATCTTCGTCTTCGTCTCCGTATCTTTCTCGTCTTGTCTTGGTCTTGGGTCTCTTGGTCTCGTCTTGGCGTGGGGCTTGGGCGGAGTGGAGGGTGGGGAGGAATTCAGGATGGGGGTAGGGGGTGGGGATATATAAGGACGGAGGACGGAGGACGGTGTGGGGCGGGCGTGGCGTCCTTTTTCTTCTTCTCGTTTCTCGTTGCTCGTGCTTCCCTGCGTCTGGAGGGCGAGTCGAGTCGAGTCGGAATAGATTTGCGTGTGCCCTCCCTCCCTCCCTACCGTGCCTCTCCCTTCCCTTTCCCACCCACCTGCACCAACCCACCCACTTACTCCTTATGCCGACTAATCTTCTCCACCCCCGCCCCCAGCGCCGTCACCCTCCTCTTCTCCTCCTCCTCATCTTCGTCTTCATCCTCATCATCCTCGTCGTCGTCGTCGTCATCCTCCTCATCTGGACCCCGCTTCTCCTCCTTCTCCCCCTCCTTCCGCCCCTCATCCTCATCCTCGCTCTCACTATCCGAATCCGACGACCCAGACGACGAACTCGACGACGCACCCGAGCTAACCGTAATCGCCGGTGCCCCCGTCTCCCCTCCCTCTCCACCCGCACCCCCCGCATTAAGCAGCGTCGCCGACGCAGTCCTCGAATGCGAATGCGAATGCGAGTGTGAATGCGAATGATGATGCCCCCGGAAGCCCGCAGGCAGCGTCACCGCCCTCAACACGTGTTCCTCGCCGCCTCCCGACGCAGGCGGGGACGCAGGGGGTATCCCTGGCGTGCCGAGCGGTGAAGTCGAGGTGAGCGGTGGCGAAGGTAGTGCAGAGGGTGTGGGTGAAGCAGCAGCGGGTGGTGGCGGTGGCGAAGCGAGCGGAGCCGACAAAGGCGAATCCTTCGTCGGCGTCGGCGTCCCGCTCTCGATCTCGTCGTCTTTCGCCTCTTGCTTCTTCTCCCCATCCTCGCCCCCACCCCCACCTCCCTCCCCCTCCCTGTCCTTCTCCTCCACGTGTGTTGTCTCCCCCTTGTCCTTCTCACAAGCCGCAGCCGCAGCCTTCTCCGCCTCCTCCCGCTCCTTCGCCTCCCGCTCAAGCCGCTCCCTCTCCCTCTGCTCCCTCCTCCGCCTGACCCACCCCATCCCGGTCCCGTCGTCGTCGTCCTCCGCGCCCGTGGACGAGACGACGCCCATCCCTACCGCCCCATTCGCGTGCGCGTGGCCGTTTCCGTTGCCGTTCCCGTTCGTTTGTGCTGCTGAGCCGGATTTCGAGCCTAGATGAATAAATGCATAGAGTGAGTATGTTTGTTTGTTGGTTTTATTGAAGATGCAAGGATGGAAAAATAAGGATGAAAAGCAAGGCAAAAGACGGCGTCTCCCGTCTCCCATCGCCGCCAAGCCGGGAGACGAGAACTACCGCGTGATCACCGACGTTGTCTCCCCCCCCAAAAAAAAACTGAGAGACGTCCGAAAACGCGCAAAGGGGCTCGGGAGACGAGCAAGACGCGAGTACCAATGCCGTCTCCCCTCATCTCCGCTCCGCTCCAACCCCTCCGCTCCACTGTGCTCCAAACCCAACGGCACCCTCCAAAGCCCCACGCTCCAACCCCCTCCAAATCCCCACTCCCCCCAAAAAGCGCAAGGGGCAAAAAAAAAAAAAAAATTTGCGCAAAAAAAAAAAAAAAAAAAAAAAGCACGCACCCGCACCACCCTGGACACCCTTCCACGCCTCATGACCATTCCTCACGCTCCCCATCCCGCCATACCCCCACTCGACAAACTCGGGCTCGTCGTCACGCGCGTTGCCGAACGGGTTGTGCGTGCCTACGTGGATTTTTTTTTGTTAGCATTTGTTAGAAAGTGAAATGAGAGAGTTGGAGAGAATAAGAATACGAAGTCGTCGTGGGCCTCGATCAGTCCCGCTCCATGGAGCGTACGTGTCGATGCGCTACGGACCGCGGATATGAATCCGGGCACAGCTCGGGCAAGAATCGCCCTGGGACGTAATACCGATACAGCAAAGAATGGAAGGAAATGGCGTGATGCGAGGGCGGGGGCGCAGCGGGCAATGGAACCCCACCCGCCGTTTAAACAAAAAAGCGAGACTCACCATTGGCATTCCTCGACCCATACACGCGTCCATTCAACATGCGCGTCCCCCTCTTGCCGCCGAGCGAGTTGGCAAAGGGGTTCAGCGCGGGGGGCACACTCCCGCTCTTGCCCTTGCCCTTTGCGTCGGCGGCCTTGTCCTTGTCCTTCCCGCTCCCGCCGAAGAGGGAGCGGCCGCGCTTGGCGACGGTGGAGGTGCTGGCGGTGCTGGTCTGGCTTTGTGTGCGGGCGAGCGGGGAGCCGTTGGTGGAGGCGGAGGAGCCCCAGCGCGTGAGGGAGGCGCCCCATGCGACGTCGGGGCCGGCTGCGTCGAGGGAGGGCGTGGGGGTGAGGCTGTCGGTCGAGGAGGCGGGGGTGTGCAGGCCGCGGCGGAAGGGGCGCAGGAGGGACTTTGGTTTCGGCCAGGTGGAGGACTTTGACGGGGGGTGGAACGACGAGGGGGGCGGGCCGGCGGGGGGGAGGGGCAGGGATGCTGCGGACGCGGGGGAGGCGTAGGGTGACGGGGCCGGCGAGGGCATGGGCGAGGGCGGGGGCACGTAGGCGGCGGGGGCGGCGGGCGGGTCGGCGAGGGGCAGCTCGTCGCCGTCGTCGGTGAGCAGCACGGAGCGGCGCGGGTCTGGCAGCGGGGCAAAGCGGATGCGGCGCTGGCTGGGGTGAGACTTGTGCATTGCTGTGGGGGTGTTGGTGTGGCTGGCGCTGGTGTGGGACGACGAGCTCGACGCCGAGCTCGAGGATGCGCTCGATGCGCTGGTCGACGAGGAGAGGCTGTTGGTCGACGGCGGGCTCGGCAGCAGGATGGACTGCGGCGGGGACAGCAGCGACATGGTGGATGCAGAAAAGTGAAGGGCCAAGGGCGCAGTGAATCATGAATCAAAAAGCATCAAGGAAACGGGGTGTCGGGTGTCTGCCAAGGATTATTCCATAACTCCGGCCTTCATTTTCCAAGGCTTATCGCTCCGCCGTAAACCCATGTTCCCAGACCTTTGCTATAACAGCACCGGGCCCGTACCGCATCCCCGCGTCATTCGTCTGTCTTCTTCGACACGTTTTCTGAACCAGTGAAAATCGTCGTGTGAACAAGTTGAAAGTTGTAGTTGACCGGGGTGCCAATACAGGACGGTCTCGAAACTACAACCCGGCCCAGGCCCTAAATAAATGGTTGTTCTATACCCTCGCGATTTGACGCCGTCTCGACTCTTCCTTGCCCGAGTCATCCTCAGCCCAGCGCTACCGGCAACTCCCGCACCTTTCCCCACACCGCCATCACCACCATCCCATGCCGCGGCCACCCCGTCCTATCACCCCATGAACCCCTGTCCCCACTCTTCGGCGTTCCCCGAGCGCAACCTCACTACGCGTCCCTGGCCACGTCGACGCGCACACCGTCCAAGTGGCCACACGAACGTTTGCGCCCGTGAGAGACCGGCGGCGGCGTTATGCTTAACGGCTGGAGGCTTAACCGTCTTTCCGAATAACGATCTTTGCTCTTTGTAAGTCAACTAGGGAGGAGAATGCCGGACGCGCGTCTCTCACCTTACTGTACAACTACGTCGGAAACGCCTCCGAGACGTGTCGATGAACGATGAATATCTGCTGACGCGCGGCCCGCCGCCGTAACACGTCTGCGCGTCCCGTCCGTTATCCCTTGGGATAATCAACGTCCAGCCGCTAGGCCTCGAGCGGGACGGACCGAGGAATTACATATCGGCCAGCTCAACAAGAAACGACCTGGGCGGTGTTTTCTCCGTTGATGTCCCTACAGCAGCTCATTTCCTTCATTGATGTCCCTTATTGCGTGCATGCCCTCGCAATCCCATTCAGTCCTGTCTTTGTTCTTCTTATTTCACCCACCACAATCCTGCGAACGTGTCCCTAATACCCTCGCGTCGGTTGTGCGCGAATTAAAGACAAAAACCGCACGGTCTCCGGGATACTCCGGTGTTCATGTTC